AAATATACAAACACTAAAATAATTTTCAATCACAACTACAGTACAATACAATTACAGTTAAACATAACCACAGCTATAAGCACAGCCACAATACTTTATAATAATTTCAAATGCACCCTTAATTTGTAAGTGAGATCACCCAGCCCTTGTTTTTAACTTTTATCCATTCCATGACCTGATTTGGATAATTTCAAACACCCTTACAGCTCCTAGTTCTTTCTCCTTGAATGCACGATTTGTTTTTGGACAACCATAAGGACCAAATACAAGCAAACCTTATTACCTACCACCCTTCTATTTTATTCTTCTGATACAGTGCCTAAACTTACCAAAATAATTCTTCCATGTCTCCCACTTTCAAACTGCCTCTATCCTCGTTTCTTCATAAGTTAGTCTACTTGTCCAAACTCTAAGTCACAGGCTTTCTCTAAAAATACTGTTATGATAGCCCAAAAAAGGCTGAAATCCCTTGTTACACCTTTAACTCCCAACGGTGACTTACTTTGCAATGCTGTGTCTCGATGGAACCCTTGTGATCGCCACCCCCAATAATTAAAGATCAAACTAAACATGATGTTTTCTTGGCCTGCCCACCTACCTTACTATCGTCGTACACTAGCCTTGCCTGCATCGATCACCAATCACTACCTCTTTGTTTATTACACCATCAAGCAGCCCCTTATCCTTTTACCACCCTTGCTTACTCGTTTCCTTTCCCTTCAAAAAATCTTCCCTGCCGCGCTACGCCAGCAACTTTCTCCATCTATGCCCGTGCATAACACCTATACCTTACATCATGTTTACATCTAGCTAATTTCGCTCTAGTCCAAACACGATCCTATCATTGGATAACAAGGAGAGCAAGGCAGGTGAATTTTTCTTTTAACAGACTGGATCATGTATGTACCAAAAAAACAGACTGGATCATGAGACCAAGAGAATGCACCGAGTGGTTTAAGTAGAGTACAGGGAAGCTGAATTGGGAAGATTGGTCTTGATTTGAGTTGTTTTTGAATGTACAATTTGATAAGGTTGATAAGTGGTTTAGTGTGTTGATTATAAATTTTAATTGATTTATTAATTACACCAAAGATACTTGAAAAATGGACATCCTCACCGATTAGTTTGAACTAGATCTAGTGCATTTAATATAGAACACAGCCTAGAACTTAGGAGTGTTGGCTTTATGGGTTGTCTCCTCACCGTATTTTCTCCTTCCTCCTTCTCGGTCCTAGAAGAAACTTTTCCTCATCACCCCCACCAAATGAGCCACACCTGTCCCTAACGTCATCAACTGTAGTCGGAGTTGAGTCCTGTCTAACAGTTCCTTTCTGTTTTCTTTCGAAATTTTAGTTGAACTTGGGTTTAATTCTCCTTTTTCTTTTCCAAATTTACAGTTCACCTTGCCCCTCTTAACCCAGCCACGAAGCCCTAAAGCCTTGCACGGTCGTTCCCGAGCAGTGGAAGTTTTTTTTAAAAAATTTTTCATTTCTTCGGATTCCATAGTTTGAAAATAAAAATTTATGCAATCTTTAAATAATAATTGCCAATTTTGGATGGAAATTAATTAATTTTTTTCATTTATTCTCTAAAAAAAGAAATAGAATATAAATTTATGCATTGTTTGGATTATACCTAGTGGCTTTGGATGGAATTAATGAAATTATAAAAACTAAAAAATTTTAAGATATTCTTATATTTTTACATATTTTATCCCCACAATAGTATATGAGTATATATATGTATTTTATTAATTTTGGAACTTGTTGATTATGCCAATCTAATTTAAGGAATTAATTAATTTATTATTATTTATTAGTAATTGATGAAATTTCTGTTATTAGGCAATTAAACATAATTATACAAGAATAAGTTTGGAATAATCAGCTTATTTCTTTTATAAGTTTTGACTTTCATTTAATCCATCCAAAAGTCTTAACTTGCACTAAATCAACAAGATTGGTTTCCTCCCAAGAGAGTTTAGCTATGCTGATTGGTGTCAATTTTTAAATCTTTGTGCTGCTGAAACTTAGTCATCAAACTAATATAATTTTATCTCCTTTTCATTTGTAAAGGTGAGTACCATTTGTACTCCTTTTAATAAATTTTGATTCAACAAATAAAAAAAAAATATAGATAACAGTTATAAGTGTTGGTTATATTTTGTTTGAGTCATAATTTTCTCTTTGGTACAATTTTTAAATAGCATGAATAATAATAATAATAATAATAATAATAATAATAATAATAATAATAATAATAATAATAGACAATTTTATTCAATTATTTTGTGCTGCGGTCACATTATTCTTTCCAACCGAACATGCAAAAGAACAAATCCAAGTAAAAGAGTCTAAGAGTGCTTGCCGCAGATATTACTAAAGCAATTGTCCACACAGCTCCCAACTTTCCTCACATCTGTTACATCAAAAACCACCGTTAATACAACATAAGAGAAGATTCATATAGTATATAGTTTGGATTAATATGGTTAAAGAAAACAAAATGTGGAATGCGAGAATAATTGAGTAAAGTGGAGGGATAGAAGGGATGAGGATGGAGATACCTTTGCCAAATTGAGTACACTGGTCAATGGCACACCCGACTTTGCAATAATAAACATCGTTAGCATCCGATATATTGGGAGGAATACATTTTCTAACACAATCTTGGTGACATGCCTCTTGAGTCTTTGGATCGGTGCATTTCTTCTCGCAATTATCGAGACATATTCTGGAAAAATCTGCTGTTGCATACCCTGCAAAGATAAGCATTAGAGCTAGGACAATCACAGTGCTCGGACTCATTCTCAATTTGTTATGCGTGCCAAAAACCTTAAACTCTAACCAGCTATAACAGTATAATCATTTAAATGGGCATTCTACACATATATATATGGGACCTTTGTCATTGTTAGAATATCAACATTGATTTTAGAAGATTATGTTTAGATTGTAATTAGTTATATACATTTAAATTAATTGATTTTATGCTTAAGAATATTCTGTTGTATAGTTTTATACCTAAAAATATTTTGTTATATAGACCCATATATAAGATCTTTGTCTATACAATGAACGTAAGAAAGTAATAAACCTTTCTTCAAATATTTAACCTAATTGTTTATGTAAAATATTTCTTGGTATAAAACTAATTAGCTTAAATGTATATAATCAATTGGAAAATGATGTGTGCACACCCGGATCCAACACCTGAGTGTGCACACATCATATAAAAAAAAAAATGCCCATCACCCGGTCCAATCTTTTTTTTTTTATGTGGGGGGTGCACCAATCATTGTCCTAATCAATTACAATGAATATACTTAAGAACAAAGTTGTCAAAATCGAGATTTTACTTAAAATCGTTTTGGTTAGGTGAAATCGGAATCGTAAAATCAAATCGGTAAAATCGAGATTTTACAAAATTTAATAGATAATATATAATAAATTATATAAAATCAAAATTAAATAACAATAAATCAAATTTAGAGTTAGAAACTTGAAATTAGCTAATTAAAATCTAGATATCCAACAACACAAATAAATTAAACGAAGAAGATGACT